GAGCCTTTTTGAACGCTCCAGGGCTTTCCTTGCGCCTCGAGGGCCCCCCTCGGCGCGGGCAGCGGACGCCCAGAGGTCGCCAGGACGGCTCAAGAGCGCAGCAAGCCGCCCAAGATGGCCCCATGTTGGCCCAAGAGACCCCCAGGAGGCCGCAAGAGCGCTCCGAGAGGACCTCCAAGAGGGCCCCAAGAGGCCAAAATCATGTTTATTCTGTGTGGTGTTCAGTGTGTTTCGCGTTTTCGGGCTTTCGACACTCCAAGACCGCCCAAGAAGCCTCCAACCTCGCCCCAAGAGGGCCCAAGAGGCCCCCAAGAGGCCCCCAAGACGGCCCAAGAGGGCCCCCAAACGGCCCAGGAGGCGCCCAAGACGGCCCAAGAGGGCCTCAGGATTGCTTGAAGAGGGGCCCAAGAAGAGGGAACACGAACCGACAATTCGAGCCTTGCGCCCCAAGAGGCCCCCAGGAGGCTTCACGAGACCCAAAGGAGGCCCCGAAAAGGCCCAAAAGAGGCCCCGAGCAACTCCACGACGGCCTCCTAGAGGCTTCAAAATTGTATCCAAAAGGCCCCCGAGAGGCCTTCCACGATATCCCAACAAACCTCGAAGAGGCCTCTAATCTACAACCCAGGAACGGTGACGGCATGGGCCGAAGACACCAAGAGGAAACAACTAATGACTTCCGATCTGGTTTTTCAGCGATTGTCGTGCTCTCGCTTTTTCGCGATTCCAGTCTTCTGAGGCAACCCGTCCCCAAAAATCTTTCAAGACGGCCCAAGGGATCCCCGACAGGGCCTCAGGACTGCCCAGAACGCCCGCAATACAGCCCAGGAGCGTTCCAGGAGAGCCCCAAGAGGGGCACCAAGAGGCGGAACCCGAACTCACAGAGTTCGCCCGCCCCCCGAAGATTGCCCCCGAGACCGCTGGCAGGGCCCCCAGCAGGCTTCCAAGCGGCCCCAGGAGCGCCCGAGTGACGCCACAGAACCTCCCCCAAAAGCATGTGATGAACCAGCGTTGCTGCCCAGGCTCACAACGCGTTCTGTCGGGGATCATTTTTCAGCGCGGTGCCAGAAATCGTAAGTCTTGAGCCAGATCGTGAGCACCTGGCAATGCATCTTTGGAAGGCGGCGTTGCCGCTAGCACGCCAAGGATATCGAGACAGATGACAGCGCAAACGCAAAGCTTAAAGGGATAATGCAGGAACAGACGATAGCCCAGAAGAAACTGCAACCAGGTCCAGAGTAGGCCAGGTTAGGCCTTGTACCCAGAGAAGCATTGGAATAACTGAAACACAATCCCACTAAGTGGAATGGTGCGTAGCTCCATACGGTTTATATAGTACCGTGAGTTGTGAATGTATTGTTTGTCCGTCGAGGCCATTCAATACGGGTCTGTCCAACCATTGCTTGGCAGGCCAGGGGCTGATACGTTGGTGGGCTAATTCGTATCTTTCGCCTTCTGGTTTCACTTGTCTCCTCCTCTTCCTCCTCCTCCTCCTCCTCGTCCTCCTCCTCCTCCGTCTTGTGCAGATGGCAGCTGGTCGCGCGATGTCTTGCGTGCATCGGGTGACGTAGTCACCGTCTCAGAGTCATCCAGCCAAGCCCTCAGGGCGGTTTTTCGCCACTGCTTAGGAGAACGCAGTTGTTGATGTTGTCGATTGAGTTTGGATGATGTGGATTCCATGGGCTTCCAGTCCAGTCCGTAGAAAAAAATCACTAAGTGGAATAAGGGAACGCCGGTGGTGGACATGCAGATCCCACGGAGAATGCTCTAGGCTTCAGGGAATTACGGCATGACGTGGCTTCCAGACTACCGCCGCATGCGAGCGGACAAGTCCTGCCCCCCCGAGGTCAATTTAGAAAACATATAGCTTGTCCTGGCCGCGTGGCCGATGGACCCGGGGCTACCTGTGACAGCTATTGCCTGGTAGCCTGGGGGGAATTCGTTACCTTTCTTTTTCCTGGTAAGAAGTCTGTGTGGCACTCTAAACAGTCGCCAGCTGGGGCCGGCCGAACGGCCGAAGGATCGATTGCGAGAGGAAGTAGGAGGAGGAGGAGAAGTTGGACGACGAGGAGAAGGAGGAGGAGGAGGAGGAGGGGGACAAAGAGAAGGACGAGTTGGTGCCCTAGCGTCGCATGGATGTCTACCCACGGCGGAACAGGGCATCCACAACTTATTTTGCACACCTTATCCCTTGGATCTCTGAGGTTCCAGAACCCTCGGGTTCGTACGGCCTCTTGCGTTATTGTGCACTGTGCTGCATTGTCTTTCATTTGATTGCTTTCCGACGGATGTGCACAGGCATGGCTCTGCAAACGGCATTGTTCTGGTGAGCGTTGCTCTGTTTTGAATTCGGTTGTATTGCACCGCATTGCCTTGCCTTTCATTTGCTTTGCAAGCTTTTGCATTGCAATGCTTCTCGCTGCATGGCGCTCCCATCTGGTTTCCATGGCACTGCGTTGCTTTGTAGTACTGGTGTGGGCACTCCATTCAGAACATTCTCTTTTCGGCTTTGCATTGGTCCGCATTGCATTGCATGGGTGTGCTATTGTCTGTTGATATTATCTGTTCAATCCGCGTTTTGTGACGGTTCGGTGCACCTCATATTCATGCCATCGGTTGGCAATAATTTCAGAGGATGTGTGATTTTGTCACGGCCTGGGGCTTGCTAGAACCACGCGCGTTTCACATCTATCAATCTGTGTATCAGAGTGAGGGGGGCTAACGGTCATCACTATCCTTGGGTGCGTTGCTGAAGTTGGATTCCGCGAGGCGGATTATTGTTGGTGTCGTTTGTGTTGTTGTCGTTGATGGTGTTGGTGTTGATGTTGTTGTTGTTGTTACTGTTGTGGTGTTGCTGGTTGTGTTTATGTTGATGTTGCTGTTGTTGTTGGCCTTGGTGGTGTGTTTGGCTGTGTGTTTGCTTGTGGGCTTGTTGGTTTGCTTGTTTGCTCGTTTGTTGCCGTTGCTGTTGGTGTTGATGTTGTTGTTGTTGATGGTGTTGTTGTTGTTGTTGCTGTTGCTGAAGTTGCTGTTGTTGTTGGTGGTGTTGGTGTTGTCGTTGGTGTTGCTGGTGCTGTTGCTGTTGTTGCTGTTGTTGGTGGTGGTGTTGTTGGTGTTGTTGGTGTTGTTGTTGGTGTTGGTGATGGCGTTGGTGTTGTTGTTGTTGTTGCTGTTGTTGTTGCTGTTGTTGTTGTTGTTTGGCGTCGTCCGCCCCACGACCCGCCCCGCGACCCACCCGCGACCCGCCCCGCGATCCACCAGCGACCTACCCGCGACCCACCCGCGACCCACCCCGCAACCCACCCGCGATCCACCCGCGACCCACCCGCGACCCACCCCGCGATCCACCAGCGACCTACCCGCGACCCACCCGCGACCCACCCCGCGACCCACCCGCGACCCCCCCCGCGACCCACCCGCGACCCCACCCGCGACCCACCCGCGACCCAGCCACGACCCACCCGCGACCCACCCCGCGACCCACCCCGCGACCCACCCGCATTGCTGTAACCAAAAATCGGTGCCTGCGGCGGGCTCGTTGTATAACTTGTAAAAAGGAGGCGCCTGCGGCGGGCTTCTTCAGAGCCTCGCAGACTGCCGACGTCCGTTCGCCATCCTGCATCGGGGCTGGATTCCACGGTCACGTTTCTTTCTGCAGAGGATGGACGGTCGAAAACGGAGGGGAGGGGGGCACGGAGACGGGGTGTGGGGATGGGGAGATGGTGGGGATGGGCGAAGAGGGAATCGCACGGGAGGGAAGGAGGGGAGCACGTCATCCCTTCACATCCTCTCTCTCTCTCTCTCTGTCGCTTTGCCCCCCTCCCGTGCCTCTAGATCCCTTCTCCCCTTCCCTCTCGCCTCCTTGAGTTGCGGCTTCACCCATCGCTCCTCGCGTTTGCGGCCCCACCCGCTGCAAGGCCAGATGGGCGCTCGCTCCCTCTCGCCGTCCGCCTCTGGGCTTCCCGACGAACGCCTTCCCCGCGCGCGCGGCGCCCGCCACGCGGCCCAGGCGGCCGAGGAGGCGCCAGAGCCTCAGGACGCCCCCCAGGAGGGCTCCTGGGTTGCACCGAAGGCTCCACGCCTCTGCCGCTGCGATCCGCCGACTGCGTCCGCGCGGCAGGGGGGCTGGTGGGAATCATTGAGCTGTCGGCGGGGGCGGCATGCGTCCTCCTCTTCCTCGTCCGTGGTCATTTCGGTTGGATGCACGGATGACCGAGCGGGGGCATGCGCATGTTTGCTCCAAGTCCGTTCGCGTGGGGTTGTGGCGATCAGGCGCCACGTACCCTCAGAGACATTCGGAGATCCTACTCCTGTGCCGTTGGAGGACGGATCTTCAGCGCACTGTGCTGAAAATACTTCTGGTCCATGACCGTCTCGGTTCCCCCGCCTTCCCCTCCTTCCACACTGATTACGCAAAGTCGGCCCTTGCATGTGTCACAACGTCCGAATTCTTAGCCGTCGCTGCTGACACAACAAGTTACCTACGCTATCGAATGGCCTTCGGCTCATCCCGCAACCGTGCATGGGTTGTGGGTCAGAGTTCTCAGGGGTGCTTCTTGGGGTCTCTTCGGAGCGCTCTCGGGGGCCTCTTGGGAACAGTTTGACGCCTCTTGGGGGCCTCTTCGCGCCTCTGGGGATCCTCCGGGGATGAGGGCTCCAACATGCGCCGGAGCCCCGCAGGCACTCCGGGAGCCCCAGGAGGTTTCAGAAAGTTGAGTAGACTCTTCCGGAGTGAGGACTGAGACTTCTAACATTGGGCAAAGGACCTGAGGACACGCCTACTCCGTGCCCAGCGGCACGGTGGCGGATAGATTCTGGGATCGAGGTCCAAGTCGACCTGCTTGGCACGGGGACGGAAAGCGCGTGCATTTTGTGAGGGCGCGAGGTCGTTGGCTTAGTATCTTGGAGCCGGAGGAAAAAGTGTAGCTGCAGCAGCCGGCCAGTAAAGTGACTACACTACACGGTGAGAAAAACAAAAAAAAAAAAAAAAAAAAAAAACGACACTACGGGAGAGCCGCAGCGGCCCGGCGGGGTACTGGTGCTCCGGGCGCCACTGCGGCGGGTGCCGCCGCGGCCTGGCCGGCTGCGGGACGCCGCCGGCGGGCGCCAGTGCGCCGCCGCCACATGTCTCCGGCCTGCAGGGAGGCCTCGTCGCGAGCGGGCGCCCAGTCCGCCAGCAGTGCCTGCTCTCCGGCCGCCAGGCGCAGCATGCCGGCAGCCATGCTGGCGTCGGCTGTCGCGTGGAGCGCCTCCTGGGGCGCGCTCAGGCGGGCGTACAATGCAGCCGCCCGCTCGCCACAGGCCTCGTCGGCAGCACGATTCAGGTCTCTGACCTCGAGCTCAGAGTGGCGTGGGTCTGGCGGCGCCCACGACCCTTCTCTCTTGCCATGGGACGGGACCCAATAGGCAGCGCAGCCCGCCGGGAGGGTCCTGGCGTGGCCCTCGATTGCGCCCCAATGGCCGAAGGCGTACTCCTGTCGGCGTGGCATGCCCATCAAGATGTCCCGCAGGCCGCCCTGGACGCCACTGTTGTCGATGTACACGATGAAAGCCACACCTGCTTCGGCGGCCGCTCGCATGAGGTGCAGGGCGGCCTCGCGCTCTGCGCAATCAGACGTGCCGTCCGGGATGGACACCTCGCCTGTGGCGGTCACGACGCCGGCGGGCGTGCTGACCGCGATGGCCCACGCCCCCCTCTTGAGGCGATCGTTCCGGCCGACCACGCTGCCGTCGGTGCATACGAGGGCGCCGCTGCCGTCCGCGCGCTGGCCAGCCCGCAGAGCCGCCACGATGCGGCCAAGCCGTCCCTGCAGCGCCGCCAGCGGCGCAGGCGCGAGCCGCCGAGGCACCTCGACTATCCGCACGGCCATCTTCTCTTCCAAGCCGCACCTGGCGCTGCCCACGGCGGGCCCCGCGGACGGCTCCTGGGATCGGGCGGCGCACTCCCACAGCCAATGGCTTCTCCTGGCAGGCGCACCGCACGTGCAGACCACCGCAGCATTCGGGGCTCCGGCGGACCGCCGCAAGCCCTCGACGGCGTGATGCTCGAGGGCACACCCCAGGGCCGCCCTCCGAAGGCTGGCGGAGCCGCTGCTGCCGAAGGTGAGCCGGAGCCGGCCTGCCGGGACCTCGCCCGCGGCCAAGAGGCGTTGGCTGTCCGCGTCCTTGGCCCGGCTCTCCTGGAGCCACAGGTGCCGGGCATGAGACCGCCATGCGAGCTGCTGCAGGCTGCTCTTGCCGAACTCCGCGAGGTCCACGATCCCCTCGGGCGTGTCGTACAGCCTCGGGTACTGTGCGGCGCCGCCGGCCCCGCCCTGCTGCGGTCTGGGAGTCCACCGCCAGCGCCGGCAGACCGCCGCCCAGCGTGGCAGCATGCGGACCGCGGTGGGGAGGTTGCGCGCCTGGCGGCGCAGGCGCCACAACTCGTGCCGCAAGGCGTCGGCGTCAAGCTGGTATTCGACGCACGCCGAAGGGCCGACAACGGCCGCGCAGGCCGCCCTAGAAGCGGCACGTGGGTGCTGGAGGATGGCTCGCCGAATGGCGTTGTCCCAACGGCGCACGGTGTCCTGTGGGGGGCGCATGAAGCGGCCGCCCCAGCAGAGCTTCGGCACCACGAGCATAGAGGTGAACCGGAGGCGGCGCGATGCGGCTCAGCTGCCAGAGCGCCGCGGCCTCGGACTTGCGCCGGGTCATCACCGGCGGCACGCGCTGCATGGACAGCACTACGCCGAGCACCTCGACCGCGTGCTTGAGGGGGCCCACCTGCTCAAGGACGCCGCCCTGGAGCGCAGCCAGCTGCGAGGGGGAGGCGCCGCGTCGCCCGTCAGCGTGCCCCCTCTGGAATCGTTGTCCCTTGCCAGCGTTCCACTGCCAGCCGGCGCCCAGGTCGAACCGACGAGTGACCTCGCATGCCTCTGCCACCCTCGCTTTCGCGAGCGGGCCACGGGCCCACAGGGTGCGATCGTCGGCGTACGCCTTGACGGAGACATGCGGGCAGGAGGCTTCCACCACCCGGATCCACAAATTCATGTCCACCAGCAGGAGGAGGACTGACAGGGGGCATCCCTGGAGCAGCCCGCGCAAAGGCCGGATCGGCTGCGAGGCCACGCAGCCGTCGACTTCCATGTGCATTTGCCTCTGGGCATAGAAACTCTGGAGCGTGTGGAGCAGGGGCTCTGGCGCGCCCATGTGTCTCAGGATATGGCGTGCGCGGGACTCCGACACTCTGTCGAACGCCTTGGACAAGTCGATCTTGGCTCCATAGATGGACAGCCCGCCGGCGGCCTTGCTCTCGTCAATGCCCTCCAGGAGCGCCTCGACCATCTCCGCGGGGTCCCGCCTGGCGCCTGACGCGATGCCGGGGTGGAGCCAGGCGGCCATCCAGGGCCAGAGGGTTGTCACGAGGTCCCCCATGCCCAGCCTCCAGGCGACCGAAGCGATCCCGATGGGGCGGAGGCCCCCGGTATCATCGTGCTTCGGGATGAGCGCGACCCTGGTGTGCGTCCAGCTGTGTGGGACGGGGCCCCCATCGAGTATGGCATTCCACACTCTGCTCAAGAGTGCAAACCATTCCAAGGGCAGGTCGGCCACGTGCTTTGGCTTCCACCCGTCTGCTCCTGCTGCTTTGGCCCGCATGCGGCCGGCCCTCCACCGCAAGCGCTTCCCGGTGCGGTCCACTTCGAAGCAGTCTGGCAGGCCGGGGCTGTGCCGCGGTACCGGGTGCGAATATTTGTCGGCGCTGGTATTTGGGGGCGGCTCAGAGCACCAGATCCGTGCCCAGGCGGCCCGCTGGTGCTCCGCCTCCCGCTGAGGATGCAAATTGGGCCGGACGGAGGTGCACGCCTCAGGCGGCGCGGCCGTGCGCTTCAGCCACTGCAGGGTGCGAGCGTCGTCTGTGACCATGGCGTCGGTCCACTGGGAGAGCCTCCTGGTGTTGTGGTGCGCCTCCACGTGGTTGATGAGCTCCTGGAGGGCCTGCCGCCCGGCGGCCGTGTCCAAGCGCATGTCCTGGAGGTCTGGGTACCTGCTGGCCAAGCGCTCCTGCCGCCGCTGGAGGTGGGCGTTGGGTGCGGTAGCGCCGCGCTTCTCGTACTCCTCCTGGACGACCCGCTGGAGCCTTGTAGAGCTCCCCCAGGTCGTGCGGAACAGCTTGGACCTGCCGTGCCGTGCCGCAGCGGCGGTCGCGCACAACCTTGGGCGACCGAGCCCGTCGCCTCGTACCGGGCGTGAGCTGACCAGCCAAGATCCGCTCGGTCTCGTCGGATAGCAGGGTCCACATGGCCTCGGTGTCGAAGCGCGCCTCGGCAGCGTCGAAGTCGTCCTGGATCTGTTCCTGAGCCTCCCGCCAACGCTGGGCCAGCTCGGGGGCCATGGGCCCGTCCCGGGTCCCAGAAGCAGGCGGTGGGATCTCAGGGAGCTGTTGGTGCGGTTTGTAGGTGTACCGGTCCTCGGGCCTGTAGCACGGCAGGTCGTGGTGGACCAGGCTGTGATCCGCCACCATCAGCTCTTGGACACGCTTGGAAACGTGCACGCTGGGGTGGGCCAACATGTAGTCCAGGTGGCGGCCTTTGGTGTGAGTCGCCGTGGCCGTCTCGGCTGGAGTGTGGGCCAACCGAAGCCACCCGTTGGACGCTGCCTCGGCCGCCACGCCCTCTGAGGGGATCATGTTCCAGTCCCCGATGATCACCGGGCGACGGCCAAGCTGAGCCGCCTGTGCCAGCACCGCGTGGACGATATCCCAGGTCTCCACGATGCGGCCGGGCAGGCCGTGCATGTTGGTCAGCAGCAGGGGTTCGGCCTTTGGCATGTGGAGCGCCGTGGTGACGTACCGGCCCTGGTGAGCAGACTCCGGGTGCGCCATCCTCTGGAGCGGGTGCCGGGAGAAGGTGATGACGCCGCCCTGGGCGCGCCCGAGCTCGTCGATGTCCGTCTCCGCCGCGGCGGTGTAGCTGTAGCCCCGGCGCTTCGCGTACTGCGTGAGGCTGGCGAGCGACTGTGGTCCGATGCGCGCCTCCTGCACGCACAGGACGTCCAGCGCGAACAGCGAGGCGAGGAAGAAGACGCGACTCAGCTTCTCCCGAAGGCCCTGGACGTTGAGCGTGCCGATCCGCATCCTCTGCGTGGGCGGCTTGGTGGCCTTGGTGGCGGCGCCTGCGGCTGCAGCAGCCTCCGGCCCGGCCGTGGCGCCAACTCCCGCGTCGTCGGGCCGCGCCTCCAGGGGTCCCAGGGGATCCGGGTCGCCAGCGAACCGCGCCTGCTGCTGGGCCTGCCGGCCTCGCAATCTCCGGCGAGCGCCGGGAGGAGGAAGAGGAGGAAGAGGAGGAAGAGGAACGGGTTCTTCGCCGCCAAGCCGGGCGCCGCCGCCATGTGCCAGGCCAGCCTGGGAGCCTTGCGGTGCGGGAGCTGCAGGAGCTGCAGGAACTGCGCTGCTGCCGCCGCCGCCGGCGGAAACCGTGACATGTTCCGCGCCGTTGTCGTTGCCGGCGGAAGCCGTGACATGTTCCGCGCCGCCGCCGCGGCCGGACGCGGCTCGGAAAACTGATGCGGGAACCTCGCCGCGGCCGGACGCGGCTCGGAAAACTGGCGCAGGAGGCCCCAAGAGGCCAGGAACCAACTCAGAGTTTTCATCGCCCTGGTCGCGGGCCTTGCCGCGAGGTAGCTGCACCGCTGCGCGCGCCTCCGCCGCTGAAGCACCCCCTGCCCTGGGAGACGTGGCCGCGGCCTGGCGTGAGGGGCTAAAAACGGCGACTGGACGCCGCCTGCCCGGCGCTGCCACCAGCGCTCAGTGCGCCTCGCGGCGCCGCCGCGGCCGCGGCCTCTGCTGCTGCCTCCGCGGCCTCGGTGGGCGAGCCCCGCGCCTTGGCCAGAGCCTCGACGGCGGTCTCCAGGTCCGGACTGCGCCGCCGGAGGCGCCGCAGGCGCGCCAGGAGGCGCACGCGCTTGGCGAAGTGCTGCTTGGTCATCCTCTGGCCGCAGGCGCGGCCCTCCAGGGCAGCGCGAGAGATCTTGAGCATGCCGCACGCCATGCAGACGAACCTCTGGCGGCCCTTGATATTCTTGTCGCCGAGGGGCCACTGGAACTGGTGGACGGTGTGCTTGTCCCTGTCCGGCTTGCGCTCGTCCCGGATCCGCTGGAGCTCACGCGAGCGCGCCTGCTCCCGCGCCTTCAAGAGCCAGTCCAAGTACTCCTGGATCTCGGCATGTTCCGCTGGCGGCGCGGCCTCCAGCCAACCGCGGGCGGTCGCAATGGCCTGCGTCGTCTTGCCCGTCTGTGCAGACAAGGGCCGGCACTGCCCGAAGGCCCGGACTGTGCGGCCCTGCCGGAAGCACGTGGTGCATCGTACGTGTGTGAGGCCTTTGCGCCGGCCAGCCGGCATGCGGAAGAACACGATCTGGTGGCCGAGGGTCTTGCCCCCGAGAAGGTTCTTGACGCGCCACGCCGCCGCTCGAGCGGCGTAGGCCGCGGCCAATCTGGGTGCTCCGTCGCCCCGTGCGCCCGCTGGGAGATGGAACCTCTTCGGGTCCTCATCTGGGTGCTCCGTCGCCCCGTGCTTGAGTCTCGACCGTGCTCCCGCTGGGCTGGCGGGGTCGGCTGCCATGGCCTTGGGACAGCAAGGGCACTGCCACCGCGCCGTCGTGCCAGCCAAGAGTTTCATCACCAGGCTGGGGCGGAGGTGCATCTGGTCCCTGACCTTCGCGTGGAAGATGGCGACATGCGCCGCTTTCTTCTGGTACAGGAAGGGCTGTCGCACGGTGAACCCCTTGCAGCCAGCGTGGGGGCAGGTCCACTGCTGCGTCGGGCCCCCGGAGGGGGGCCTGGGAGCGGGCTGCTCGTCGGAAGGCGCGGCTGCTGAGGCGGAGGCGCCCGCCGGCCCTCGCGGAGGCGCGCGCCTCGAAGCTTGGGGCTGCTCTGGGGCAACGTATCCCAGAGCTGAGCTGGCCAGCGAGGGAGTGCCACGGCTGCCGGCAGCACGGCCCCCCTCGTCGTAGTCGGCGATGGCCTGCCTCCGCCGCTTCCTGCTGCTGCTGGCTGTGCTGGCAGCGGACGCCTGAGGAGCGTCAGACGGGGCCCGACTGCCACCACCGCCGCGGCCCCCCTTGGGAGCACAAGGAACGCTCTTGAGATCACCGGGTGGCTGGGAGACGATGAGCTCGTAGTGGGCGCCGTCGTACCTGAGGCGCACTGGCTGCCTGCAGGGGCTTCTTCGCCCCGGAGGGCGGCTTGAAGTGCTGTGGAGGCCCTTGCCTCCGGTAGACCACCACCTCGCCCTGAAAGACCTCCGCGAAGGCGGCGACTTCGAGGTTGCCCAGCCAGGCGCCGGGCTTTTCCGCCAATTTCATATACTCGGCGAAGGAGTCCAGTTTCTTGTCCTCTCGCTGGGGCGCCAACTCGTCCCAGTAATTCGCGAACTTGTCGCAGTTGTGCGCCACGTGCTTGGCGATCCTGAACCTGACCGTCTCCTGCTCCACGATGACGTTCTGCTTCCTGAGTCCCTGAGACAAGGCATGGGGGAGGCAGTCCCCAGCGCCTGGATTCGGGATGGTGCGCATCCAGTCTGGCCATGGGGGTGGTTCGGGGGCCTCCGGGGCCAGGGCTGGTCGTTTCCCTGGGGGTACCGGCCGCTGTGCCGATCCCTTGTCGTCACCATTGCCTCCGTTCTCGGCCGCTGCCCCAATGGCCGGCCCGTTCGCCAGCGCCAGGGCCCCCGCGGCCGGGGCCATTTCCAAGACCCTGTTGGGTGCCCGCGGCTTGTCCTCCGCGGACTTGGGGTCCTTGACGAAGGACACGGCCCGCTCGCCCGGCAAGCGCTGCCACGGTGCTGCACTCCTCCTCGGTGCCTCGATGTACCCGTGCATGTGGATATCCTCACCTGCGACACGTTGCTCGATTTCGAACCCGCTCAACTCGCCACTGGCTGCGGCTCTGACCACCCAGGTCTTGCGCGGCAGCGCCGAGCTGGGCACGCGCGGAGATCCGCGCTGCGCGATGAAGACGATGTCGGCCAAGCCCTGGGCCTTGAGCAGGTTGGACACGTCTGTGTAGGAGTGCCCTGCCGGCACGCCTTCAGCTTCCAGGTGCGGGTGCGGGCGTCGGTGGAGGCGCGCGGCTTGCGGATGCCGAGAGCGCGATCTCCGCGTGCGATGCCGAGATCTCCTGCCATGGATGCGATCCTGGTCGCGTACTGCGACCACTCCTCATCCTCCAGCCTCTTCTGGTACTCACAGGCACAAGGGCCAGGGTTGGGGGCCTCCCAGCGCATGGGCTCAACGAAAAATCGATGTCCATGATCGTCCACCTGCCCCGACGCGGCCAGGAGGCCGGCCACGGCTGATTGCTCTACCCTCCACAGGCCGACGAGGATGTCGCCCTGCTGGAACCACTTGAAGGTATCGCGGAGCTTGCTGGCATCGGTGAGGCCCGCTGCGATGCCCCACGCGCGAGCGGTGTCGCCCGGGCGCTTGAGGGTGCGCTCCCACTCCGTCGTGTACCTCCTCTCTACAGACACCCGGAGGACGGCAGTCTCCGTCGCAGCAGCGGCCGGCGCCGCTTTGGTAACGACCGTCTTGTACCGAGGCGCGTCGGTGTGAGAGCGCCGCAGGCCGACCGCTCGGACGCGGGTGTGCCCTCGCGCTTTGCCCAGAAGCTGCCGTGGCTCCTCGTGTGGCTGCAGTGCGCATTCGCTGGCGACTGGTCCTTCCAAGGGCCGGACCCGCAGGACGCGGAGGTGGCCGTGGATCGACAAGAGGGTCTCGATGCCCTTGCAGTCGGCTTCGTCCCGAGCGAGGACCACACCGAGCACGGGCTTCGGCGGCGTCGTACTGTCCCCTGGCTGCGCCCGAGCCTTGAGCTCCAAGTCGTCCACGGAGAAGATATGAGCGTCGAAATCTTCGGGCCTGAGGCTCCACACTGTCTGCCAGGCCTCCAGAGCGTCGGGTTGCTGCCGGCGGGGTGCCGGCGGCTGCTGCTGTGGTGCGCTGCCGCCGCCACCGCCGCCCGAGCCATTGCCCGCACCGCCGCCCTTGCCTCGGCCCTTGCCCCAGCCGGTGCCGCTGCCGGAGTCGTGCGTGCTCGAGTCTGCGGCCATATCCTCGTCCTGACCCTTGTCACCGTCTTTGTCCGTGCTCTTGCTCTTGGCTTTGGCCTTTGCCCTGGGCTTGGTCCTGGGCCGGCGCTGGCCACTGCTGTCGTCCTCGTTGTGGGCCTGCATGCCGCTAAGCACGCCGGCCAAGAGGGTCATCAGCTGGCTCTGGTCGCTGCCCTGGAGCATCTGCACCATGACCTTCACGAATTGCTCCATGAAGCCACGCATGGTGCGGGATTTCTTCGCTGCTCGCCGAGTCGGAGGGCGGGCTTTCGGAGGGCCGTCGCCCGCGATGTGGCCTGGTTCCGCTCGTAGCCGCCTGTTGGCCCCCCTGTGGGAGAGCCTCCTGAGCGGGCGTGCTGTCCGTAGCTGTGCCAAACAGCGCTGCCACTCATATTTCCATGCTCTGGCCTGGCATCCATTGCAGGCGGCGGCACCACCCACGCTGGTGCAGGGCAGCTGCAACTGTGAGGGGGCGCGCCGGCCGCTCAACAGCTGCTCCTTCGCCTCCTCCTCTACCTCAGCCTCCTCAGCAACCTCCTCCAGCTGGTCCGCGAAGCCGGAGCGGAGGGCTGCAAACGAGAGCTGCAGGCTGCACGTCGGATTCCTGTGCCCGTGCATGGGCCAGCAAGCACGTGAGGCAGGTGGACTGCCGTGCCTGAACACCACATTGTGGGGCCCAGCTGGCCACCCAGCCCGCGCGCCGGAGGAGGCGGCGCCGCTCGGCATTCGTCATCCTGTGGAAGTAGGTGGACTTCCCCCGTCGACGCTGCAGATGGCGAACCCTGCCTGCGCGTCGTGCTCTGGTGGCCACCCCGTGGCGGATGCCGTCTCTCAGTGGGGTAGCTGCTGCCTTTCCTGGGCCCGCATGGCCCTGCCCTGCTCCGTGTGCGCACCCATGCGCACCCTGTCCCTTGTCAGTAAACTTGCAAGTGAATTCACCAGGCCGCGGCCCACCCGCGGTCCAAGCTGCATTTGCCGGCCGATCCCCGATCAACAGGCCGTCCTCCTTCACCGTCGGCAGCTGCACACCCGCATGCCGCCCATCATTGCTCGCCTCACCCAAACTTGCCCTCGCCCGGGCATTCTGATCCTCGTACGTGCATTCAGTCGCCGACATCGTCGGTGTCCAGCCGCACCGCGTTGAGGTGCACGTTGGAGCCGCCCGCCCAGCGCCGCCGCCGCCGCCGAAGCAGCAGCAGCCCCGCAGGCGGACCGCCATGGCGCCCGAGAGGGGGCCCCTCCCCCCCTAGAGAGCCAAACGGCTTAGTGTTCAGGCTCTGGCACGACAGACAAAAATCTAGCAAAAAGCATTGCGGAAATCAATGAGTATTGCATTTCCCGGCCTTCCTGGGGGTCCTTTTGGGGCTCTTGGGGGCCGTATTGGGGCCCTCTCGGGGACCGCCTGTGGCTGTCTTGGGGCTCTCTTGGGAACCTTTTGGGGCCCTCAGGGACCTCTCTTGGGTTTCTTGGCACGCTCTTGGGCCGTCTTGGAGCCCATTTGGGTCGTGTTGGGGCCCTCTTGGGCACCTCATCGGCCATCTTGGGGCGGTCTTGGCGGCCTCTTTGGCCGTCTTGGACGCTATTCAGACCAAAAAAGCGAACGTGCTAACAATGTACGTTTTCCCCCGGGGATGGGACGATTTTTACCATTTGGGGTTCCTTCGGGGAGCCTCTTGGAGCGTCTCGAGGGCCTCTCTGGCCGTCTTGAGGCCGTTCTTGGCTCGCTTGAAACGCTCTTGGGCCGTCCTCTTGGGTCTCCCTGAGGCCGTCCTCGAGGTATGTTAGGCCGCACGGGGGGCCTCTTGGGCAGTTTGGGGGGGGCTCTTGTGCGTTCTTGGGGCCGACTTGGGCCATCTTGGGCCGACAATGGCCAAAATTTTGATTATTGGAGAGGCCTGACGGCCGGTGCCGCCGACCCTGATCGAAAGGGCTAGGAGCGGGGGGAGGAAGCGGAGGATGAGGAGGAGGAGGAGGAGAAGGAGGAGGAGCAGGAGGAGGAGCAGGAGGAGGAGGAGGAGGAGGAGAAGGAGGAGGAGGAGGAGGAGGAAGAGGAGGAGAAGGAGGAGGAGGAGGAAGTGCATCCTTTGTGTGCCCGCTCGAAGAAAGTGCGCCCCGGGAGTGTGATATTCTGACTTGGGACGTGCTCCCGGAAGAGGAAGAAGTGCATCTCGGGCCTGCGGGGAAGGGATCAAAGGGAAGGGGCTTCCCTTCGACTCCACTACGACGTCCTTCAATTTCGCTTTGGATAGCGCGCTTGAGGAGGAGAGCCCTGGGAGGGGGAGAACGGAGACGACGAGTCGAACGGAGAAGCCCTTCACACACGCCGACAGGGTCGGCGGATTAAATCTGGCGTGGGTCCTGCCAATCCCCTGCCACTCCCCCTTATTATTTCTGGGCCTCGCGAGGCCAATCCCCTCACATTCCCCCTTGTTGTTTCTCCCGGCTAATGGATCGCAACGCTACGCGCGTTTTCCGTCACCTGGATCTGGAGACTCGCTTGTTGCAGTGCCTACCATCGTCGCGACTTGCCTATACGCTAGACCATGGCCATTGCTTCTGAACTTTTTCGCCGCTTGGCGAGTTGAACTGCCCGATCCCTCATCATTGAAGTTGCCGAACATCGCCGAAGCAGAGCCAAAATTCGTCAGAGGGAGGAGGAGGAGGAGGAGGAGGAGGAGGAGGAAGAGGAGAGGGAAGAGGAAGTGTGAGGAGTAAGAAAGAGGGAGGGGAGGGAGGCGGAAGAGGGAGAAGAGGAAGAGAAGGGATGACCAGTAGGACGAGGACTTCACAGGAGGGAGGAGGATCAGAAGAAGAAGGAGCAGGAAGAGAAGGAAAAGGAGGGAAGACGAAGAGGATGAGGGACGAGGCAGGAAGGGGAAGAAAAGGGAGGGAGAAGGAACTAATGAAGGAGGAGGAGTAGAAGTTGTTCTGGTGTCTGGCCCCGGGCGGCTCGGCGAACGGAGCCCGCGGGAGCGAGAGAATACCGGACAGGTGGAGGGCATGAGCGTCTTCGACCTCCGGGTGAAGGCGGGGACGGGCCTTGGGAGCAGGGGGGGAGGGAGGTGGAGGAGGGGGAGGAGGGGAGGGCGGCAGGGAGGGGGGGGGAAGTTGGAGGGGGAGGAGGACAAGGGGGACCAGTGTAAACCCGCGATGCATCAACGATGTTGCAAGAGACCATCCCTCCAAGTTCCCTCTTCGCAGGTCCCTATGAGAATTGTTGCTTCATTGAGGGAAGTAGCCCATTACAAGACAATCGTCTGAGAGTCTTCAGTCGTGCCCACACCGTTTCTGCGTCCTGACAAGTCTAGATCGTGCCAGAACACAGTCCCTGGAACTTCAGCACCGCGTATGTGTGCGATTGTTACGTCCTCACAATCCTACATCGCGACAGAACACTATTCCCGGATGTTCGATCATATGAATTTTTGAAACTGTCATAAACATTTGGAGTTAATATGGGCGGCGGTAAGGCGAGAGCCAGAATTCGAAAAAGGAACCGCCCTCCATCCGTGAAACTGCTGCAAACTGTTGAGACAAATGTGCACTGCGCCAAGGCGAGAGCAACATCTTGAAACAGACCCGCCCTTCATCCGTGAAACTGTTGCAAATTTTCAAACCGGAGGTGCGCGGCGCCAAGGCGTGAGCCACGTTTTGACAGCGGTCCGCCCTCCATCCGCGAAACTCATGCAAATTTCAAGTTTCAGGATCATAAATGGCGAAGACGTTTCCAGCGAAACGCCCGGCCCGCCCTACCGACGCGTCCGGGGTGCGACAGGAAGGAGTTCTTTACAAGGAACAACGAAGAAGGAGAAGGAGAAGGATGTTTGAAAAAATCGCGCCAGAGGTTTTGCCCTCGATGTCTGCCTCTGGGGGCCCGCTTCGAGCCCATAGGCGTTCAAAAATCAATCTGGGATGAGGAGGCCAGGGTGAACCCCAGGAGGGATCGAGTGGCCGAGTTGACCAGATTTCAGGGCCTAGCGGATGAGGGGCAGGAGGAGGAGGAGCTGAAGAAGTTTGGTGTTTTTTGCCTCCTCGCGGCCTCCAGGGGCGCCCTCGTCACCACTGCTGGATTCCTCTCGGAGTCATGGTCGGGCCGCGCTCAAGAGCGGGTCCACGATCCGATTGTGTACAGGAAGATGCTAGCCGCGGCGCAAAATTGGCCCCGGGGCTCGGATCGAGAACTCGGGAGCCCACGTCTTGAAAACACAATTATTCACTGCGTGGAGCTCCCCATATGTGCATCTACTCGCATGGACCTGTCCGCCGTGAATGTCTAGGCGCAAGAGCTTTCGAATATTAACGGGCTTCAGTTGTGACGGTCTGGACATCAATCTAATTGCGAATGAATTGGAGTGTGAATGAGCCTCAGTAGTACGAGCGCGTCTCTGTGCATGAGCCTGGGGCCTCCTGGGGCCTCCTGAAACCTACTGGGGCTTCCTGGGGTCTCCAGGAGCCTCTTGGGACCTCCTGGGACCTCCTAGGAAGGTTTCGTACCCCAGGAGAGGCGCAATCTATAGCAACAGACGTACATAACACATTGCGGATTAGAGCCACAGGAGAAGGGCAATCTATAGGAACACGCGTAAAACACCAAGGACTCGTGCCCCAGGAGAGGCCCAAAATATAGGAACATGAGTAAAACATTTAGGATTGTGTACACAGGAGAAGGACCATTATAGAAACATACGTAGAACATCAAAGAATCGTGCTCCAGGTGAGGCCCAATCGATAGGAGCATACGTAAAACACATGGGATTGGAGCCACTCCTGTTGCCTTCTGAGGCCTCCTGCTCCTGGGGCCTCTCGGGGCCTCCTGTTGCCTTCCGAGGCCTCCTGGCGCTTCCTGTTGCCTCCTGGGGCCTCCTGTGGTTTCCTGAGGCCTTCTGGAGCTTCCTGGGGCCTCCTGGAGCCTCTTGGGACATCCTGTGGCCTCTTGAGTCTTTCTGTGGCCTCCTGATGCCTCCTGGGACCTCATGTGGTCTCCTGGGGCCTCCTGGAGCCTGTTGGAGCCTCCTGTGGCATCCTGAGAAGAATCTGCGCCCACGAGCCTGGCCACCAAAACAAGCAAACCGATCGAGACATCCTCAAAATCTGGCCCACCTGGGGGGTGAAAATGAGCGCCTCGCTCGAGACATCCTCCAAATCTGCTCCGAAAGCGAAGGATGTTGAGCCCAGAAACAAGCAAACCGCCTGAGACATCCCCACAAAATGGCCGCGAACGAGCCCGTGCAACCACCCCTGGCGGCTCCCCTTAGGGCCACGAGCCTGGCCACCAAAACAAGCAAACCGTTCGAGACATCCTCAAAATCTGGCCCACCTGGGGGGTGAAAATGAGCGTCTCGCTCGAGACATCCTCCAAAGCTGCTCCGAAAGGGAAGGATGTTGAGTCCAGAAACAAGCAAACCGCCTGAGACATCCCCACAAAATGGCCGCGAACGAGCCCGTGCAATCACCCCTGGCGGCTCCCCTTAGGGGTGCTGAAACCAGCGCCCCGCCTGAGACATCCTCACAATCTGCTCTCCAAGCGAAGGATGTTGAGCCCAGAAACAGGCAAACCGCCTGAGACATCCCCACAAAATGGCCGCGAACGAACCCGTGCAATCACCCCTGGCGGCTCC